TGCATCGGCGATCGATGTCGGAGATGCATCAGCGCCGTCGGCGAGGAGAAAATCGGGACGCATCGCCGATGCATCGGCCATGCGGCGCGATCCTCCGACCCCGTCTGCTCGGACCACATCTGGGAGGCCTGGGCGCGTGTCGCCAGCTCTGCGCGCGCCACTCTAGAGCCCCTATGGGGCCCTCTGGGCCTCGTGAAGGGTTGCCCTGAAGGCCGCGGGGGTCCCCATGATGGGAATCCTGGGGACACCTTGGCTTAGGTTGGGCCTGTCCCCCTGTTGGACGAACAATAAACATGATGGACCCACGAACCCGGAAAGGGATATAGACATGTGGAGCATGGACACGTTTTCACGATACCCAACTGGGCAACACCTCACGAAACATTCCACGAGACACCCCACGAAACATTCCACGAGACACCTCACGAAACATTCCACGAGACACCCCGCGAAACATTCCACGAGACACCCCACGAAACATTCCACGACGACAGGCAACCACTCAACCAAGGCGGTGTGGTCGTGCTGGGGGTGGTGGTGCTGGGGGGTGGTCGTGCTGGGGGGTGGTCGTGCTGGGGGGTGGTCGTGCTGGGGGGGTGGTCGTGCTGGGGTGTGGTCGTGCTGGGGCGTGGTCGTGCTGGGGCGTGGTCGTGCTGGGGCGTGGTCGTGCTGGGCGTGGTCGTGCTGGGGTGTGGTCGTGCTGGGGTGTGGTCGTGCTGGGGCGTGGTCGTGCTGGGGCGTGGTCGTGCTGGGGCGTGGTCGTGCGTGGTCGTGCTGGGGTGTGGTCGTGCTGTGGTGAGGTCGTGCTGGGGTGTGGTCGTGCTGGGGTGTGGTCTTGCTGGGGTGGGGTCGTGCTGGGGTGGGGTCCTGCTGGGGTGTGGTCGTGCTGGGGTGTGGTCGTGCTGGGGTGGGGTCGTGCTTGGGTGGGGTCGTGCTGGGGTGTGGTCGTTCTGGGGTGTGGTCGTGCTGGGGTGTGGTCGTGCTAGGGTGGGGTCGTGCTGGGGTGGGGTCGTGCTGGGGTGTGGTCGTGCTGGGGTGTGGTCGTGCTGGGGTGTGGTCGTGCTGGGGCGTGGTCGTGCTGGGGTGGGGTCGTGCTGGGGTGGGGTCGTGCTGGCGTGTGGTCGTGCTGGGGTGGTCCGCACCATGTGATTTATCGATCGGGTTGTGCTGGGGTGTGGTCGTGCTGGTGCTGGGGTGTGGTCGTGCTGGGGTGTGGTCGTGCTGGGGTGTGGTCGTGCTGGGGAGTGGTCGTGCTGGGGTGTGGTCGTGCTGGGGTGGTCGTGCTGGGGGGTGGGTCGTGCTGGGGGGGTGGTCGTGCTGTGGTCGTGCTGGGGCGTGGTCGTGCTGGGGCGTGGTCGTGCTGGTGCGTGGTCGTGCTGGGGTGTGGTCGTGCTGTGGTGAGGTCGTGCTGGGGTGTGGTCGTGCTGGGGTGTGGTCTTGCTGGGGCGTGCTCGTGCTGCGGTCGGGTCGTGCTGGGGTGTGGTCGTGCTGGGGTCTGGTCGTGCTGGGGTGGGGTCGTGCTGGGGTGGGGTCGTGCTGGGGTCTGGTCGTGCTGGGGTGTGGTCGTGCTGGGGTATGGTCGTGCTAGGGTGGGGTCGTGCATTTCGCTCGAGACATCCTGCCAAAAGTCCAGGAAATCGTACAAAAACAAAGGAATTAGTCGAGACATCATCGAAATTCCTTCGCGCGGGGCGCTTTTCCGCGTCGCGGTCGGCTCTGCAAAACAAGCGTTTCGCTCGAGACATCCTCGGCAAACTCTGCGGAGCAAGCGTTTCGCTCGAGACATCCTCAACTCTGCAAAACCAGCGTTTCGCTCGAGACATCCTCAAGAAATTCTGAAAAAACAAGCGTTTCGCTCGAGACATCCTCAAATTTTAATTCGCCGGCCTCCTTCGACCTCGTTATTTATCATGGAAAAAATTCGCCGGCCTCCCTCAAGTTGGCACCGGGGGACAGGTTTACCTACTAAAAGAGAACCCTGGGCCGATGCCCTTTCCGGGAAAATTATCCCAGTGCGACCCTTACCTAGGAGCCAGTGCGACCTTACCTATGAGTTGGAGCCCCTAGGAAGCAGCATTAGTATACAGTAGCTAAGCTAGAGCTAAGCTAGAGCTAAGCTAGAGCTAAGCTGAAGCTAAGCTAAAGCTAAGCTAAAGCTAAGCTGAAACCAAGCTAAAGCTAAGCTGAAGCTAAGCTAGAGCTAAGCTAAAGCTAAGCTGAAGCTAAGCTGACGCTAAGCTAGAGCGAAGCTAAAGCTAAGCTGAAGCTAAGCTGAAGCTAAGCTAAAGCTAAGCTAAAGCTAAGCTAAAGCTAAGCTAAAGCTAAGCTAACGCTAAGCTGAAGCTAAGCTAAAGCTAAGCTAGAGCTAAGCTAAAGCTAAGCTAGAGCTAAGCTGAAGCTAAGCTAACGCTAAGCTAAAGCTAAGCTAAAGCTAAGCTAAATCTAAGCTAAAGCTAAGCTGAAGCTAAGCTAAAGCTAAGCCAGAGCTAAGCTGAAGCTAAGCTAGAGCTAAGCTAAAGCTAAGCTAGAGCTAAGCTGAAGCTAAGCTGAAGCTAAGCTAGAGCTAAGCAAAGCTAAGCTAGAGCTAAGCTGAAGCTAAGCTGAAGCTAAGCTAAAGCTAATTTAAAGCTAAGCTGAAGCTAAGCTAATGCTAAGCTAAAGCTAAGCTAAAGCTAAGCTGAAACTAAGCTAAAGCTAAGCTCAAGCTAAGCTAAAGCTAAGCTGAAGCTAAGCTAAGCTAAGCTAAAGCTAATTTAAAGCTAAGCTGAAGCTAAGCTAATTCTAAAGGCTAAGCGAAGCTAAAGCTAAGCTGAAACTAAGCTAAAGCTAAGCTCAAGCTAAGTAAAAGCTAAGAAAAAAAGAGTAAACAAGGAAAAAAAGTGAAAAACAAACATGAATAATGAATGGTAAGGGAAACAAAAAAAAAAAAAAAAACAAAAGAACACAAAAAAAAGAGAAATAAAATAAGTAAAAGGAGAAGAAACAACACGAAAAAGGTTTTGGGGGGAACCCACCAGGGGTGGCCCCACCCCCCCCCCCCCGCCCCACCCGAAAACCCCCCTTGGGGGGGGGGGAAGGGGGGGAAAAACCCCCCCCGGGCGGGGGTCGCGGGGGCAACCCCTTTTGGGGGGGGGGGGAACCGCCCGGGGCGCAGTGCACTGCCCGGCCCCTTTAAGCTAAGAGAGTAAGAACCCTCTAGGCAGAGCCTAGGTAGGGAATAATCTAAAAATGCACCGAAAATGCCCAGAAATAGTCAACATGATCGACCCACGAACCCGGAAAGGAATATAGAAATGTAAGGCATTGCAACATTTCAAAGACACCTGATTGGGCGACGGGCACATGCAATGCTGAATGTATCGATGATGATGTACTGTGCCGAGGGCTGTGCTGTGCTACGCCGTGCTGAACTGCGATGTGCCATGCCGCGATTGTGCTCTATATAGCGTTGTGGATCGAGTCCTCCCTGGAATCCGAGTACTCACCGAACTGATCTGGAGCGTAAGCTCGAGCTGCCTGAGCAGATGGTAGCTGCCCCAGAACTAATCGACAGAGGGAACATGCCAGGAGGACGCGCCGCGGAACATCCTAAAGGACGCGCCAGGCGACGTGCCAGGGGACGTGCCATGGGCACGCACCGCGGGACGTGCCAAGGGGACGCGCTACGGAACGTGCCAATGGACGTGCCGAGGGACGTGACAGGGGACGCGCCGCGCGACGTGCCAGGTGGACTCGCCACGGAACGCGCCAAGGAACGTGCCCAGGTGCATACTTGAGTGTATCGATCTTGATGTACCGTGCCGACGGCTGTGCTGTGCTGGGCCGTGCTGAACTGCGATGTGCCATGCCGCGATTGTGCTCTATGTAGCGTTGTGGATCGAGTCCTCCCTGGCATCCGAGTCCTCACCGAACTGATCTGGATCGTAAGCTCGAGCTGCCTGAGCAGATGGTAGCTGCCCCAGAACTACTCGACCGAGGGAACATGCCAAGAGGACGCGCCGCGGAACGTCCCAAGGGACGCGCCAGGCGACGTGCCAGAATGCCAAAAAAGACACAATAAAAAAAGACAAGAACCAATAAATGGCCAAAAGAATATAATGCCACAATAAACAACAGAAAACAAAAAAAAAAGAAAGAAAAAAAAAGATAGTGGGGACGTGCCATGGGCACGCACCGCGGGACGTGCCAAGGGGACGCGCTACGGAACGTGCCAATTGACGTGCACCGCGCGACGTGCAATGGGGGACTCGCCACGGGACGCTCCGCGGAACGTGCCAGGCAACATGCCAGGCTGCAATGCTAAGGATATCGATATTGATGTACCGTGCCGAGGGCTGTGCTGTGCCTGGGCGACCTGGACACGTGAAAACACGCGTTTCGCTCAAGACGTTGTCAGCACATGCTCATGCTAGACATCCGCCTGGGCGACCTGGACACGTGCAAACAAGCGTCTCGTTCGAGACATCCTCAACACATGCTCATGCTAGACATCCGCCTAGGCGACCTGGACACGTGAAAACAAGCCTCTGGTTCGAGACATCCTCAACAAATCCTCCTGCGAGACATCTGTCTGGGCCACCTGGAGGCGTGAAACCAAGCGTCTCGCTCGAGACATCCTCAAGACCTGGGCACGTGAAAACAAGCAATCCACTTGAGAGATCCTCAGAATTCAGGTCCCCAGCAGAGGACAATCTATAATACAAAACAAGCGTTTCGCTCGAGACATCCTCAACAAATTCTGAAAAACAAGCGTTTCGCTCGAGACATCCTCAATTTTTAATTCGCCGGCCCTACGCGACGTCGTTACTTATCGCAAAAGAAACTCGCCGGCCCTACAGCCGTCAAAACCGGGGGTAAACCTACTAAAAGAGAACCCTGGGCTCGAGCCCTTTCCGGGAAAAAATCGTCCCCTAATTATTTTCTGACTCTATTCCTCCTGTAGAGGGACAGGCCCGACCTAAAACTTGGCCCAGGAACACCTCTGGCAGCACCCGAGAGGCGGGCGTCCACGCCCTCCGGGCGCCCGGTGCACCGCGACACGGCCTCGCAGCACGCCTCGCACAGCCCGGCGGCCTCGAAGCTGGCGTAGAAGTCGCCCCGCAGCGCGGGCGGGGGGCGCGGCTTCCCGGGGGGATGGGGGGCGCAAGGAGGCCCCCATCCAGGTCTGGGCGGCGCGGAGAGATCCCGACGGACCATTCCCGTCTCGGGGCCGGGAGGCCCCCCGCGTGGGGTCCACACCGGTGGGGTCGGAGGATCGCGCCGTACAGTATCAACAACGCTGGGCGATACGTCGGCGACGTCGGCGATGCATCGGCGACGCCCGCGTGGAGAAAATCGGGCTCCACATCGAGTCGCACTGCCGGTGCATCAGCCATGCGGCGCGATCCTCCAACCCCATCTGCTCGGACCCCACTCGGGGGGCCTGGAGGGCCCAGCAGGGCCCTCGCAGATCGGTCTGGCCCGAGAAGTCCATGAGCACCGTTGAATCGATCCCTGTCCCCTCACGGGCATGGCACTGGAACCACTGACCTTCCTCTTCGGGCTTCGGGGGGTACATCCCCCATCGGGGCGCTGAGATGGTGGGGGTGAGGTGCCATGGCCTGATGGGGATGGAAAGCATACTTTCACTCGCGGCGATGACGGGCGTTTGGGGGAAAGGTATCTATATATATATATATATAGAGAGAGGTATCGATCTATTTTATATATATATGTATAATATACCTATATATATAAATATATATATATATATATATATATATATATGTACATCTGTATATCTGCATAAATGAATATCTACATAGCGTTCCCCTCCCCCCATTATATATATATTAGAACCATCGCGCGCGCGCTTCGCGCGCGCTCTCAGGTTCTAGCCCAGGCCGGGGGGGCGCTGGACGATCTTGGACAACGCTATCAAGCACAGGCGCGCGACGGCATCTGAGGAGCTTCTGGGGTGTTCCGCATGCTTCGTCAACTGGCTGTTGGAGGCACCTCTTAGGTGCCTCTTGGGGGGGCGTCTGAGGGTCCCTTGGGGGCATCGGTTCTGCAATCTGAAGCCGTCATTGCCCGTCTTGGTTGCGTGGAGGCCCGACTTGAGGCCACCTGCGGCCAGATTGAGGCAATCCGGAAGCCTCCCGGGGGCCTCCTGGAAGCAGTTTTGACGCATCGAGGGAACTCTTGGGCTATTTTAAAACCTCTTGGACGTCTCCTACAGGCCTTTTGGGCCCTCGGGAAGCTTTTGGGGTCCTCTTGCGGCCTCCTGTGGGCCTTTTGGGGGGAACGCTCTGCTGTTGGGTCGCGTTCCCCTTCTTGGGTCTCTCTTGGGGCTCTTGGGGCCCTCTCGGGCCGTCTTGGGCGCCTCAAGCACCGTCTTGGGGCCCTCGCGGGCCGTCTTGGGGCCCTCTTGGAGGCCTCTTCCTCTATATTGGAGCGGTGTTGGAAGCCTCTTGGGCCGTCTTGGAGCATCGGGATGCCAAAAGGCCGAAAAAATTCAAAACCCGTTAAAGCCCAATCGTAAAACGATGAGTTGTGCCTCTTGGGGCCACCTTGGGAGATCTCTTGGAACCTCGTCGGCCCTCTTGGGAGCTTCTTGGGGGCCTCTTGGATCCGATTGGGGGCACTCTTGGGACGTCCCGAGAATCTCTCGGGGTAGAAAGCTCGGATTATCAGTTCGTGTTTCCCTTCTTGGGCCTCTCTTGGGACCGTCTTGGGGCCCTCTCGGGCCTTCTTGGGCGCCTCAGGCACCGCCTTGGGGCCCTCGTGGGCCGCCCAGGGCCCTCTTGGAAGCCTCTTCGGCTATCTTGGAGCTGTCTTGAAGGCCTCTTCCTCCTCCTCGTCCCCCTCCTCCTCCTCCCACTCCAGCTCTCTCTCCTCCTGATCTTCCTCCTCCTCCTCATCCTGCAGCGTGTTCCGGAAGGCTCCCGCCGGAACATGCTGTGCACAAGTGCTGTCACTGCTCCCGCCACAGTGCCCTGGGCCCTGGGTGGTGGGTCAGAGGCCTCATGGGTGTTGGCTTGGATCTCGTGGTTGGCCTGTCGGGGACGTCGTGAAGGCAGTTTCGCAGCTTCTCGGTAGCCGTTTTGGGACCGTTGTGGGGCCTCCTCGGGCTGCTTTGTGGCCTCTTTAGGCCGCGTTTGGGCCTCCTGGGTGCCTCTTGGGGGCCTCCTGGGGCCTCTTGGGGGCTCCTTGGGGCCTCCTGGGGCACTCTTCAAGCCGGAGGGTCGAATTTTGGAGTCGTGGTCCCCCTCTTGGGCGCATCTTGGGGCCGTCTTGGGGCTCTGTTGGGCTGTCTTGGGCGACTCTGGGGCCGTCTTGGGGCCCTCTTGGGCCGTCTTGGGGCGCTCTTGGGGGCCTATTGAGCAGTCTTGGAACGTCGGACAGCCGAAAAGGCTGGAAGGCCAAATTCGTTCGAAAACCTTCGTAACATTGACGATTTCGGGCTCTTGAAGCGCTCTGGAGAGGCGTCTTGAAGCGTCGTGGAGTGCCTTGGGGGGCCTCTCGGGCCGTCCTGGGCCTATCTTGAGCGTCCTGGAGCGGTCTTTCGGCCACTCGGGGCCCGCTTGGGCCGTCTTGGGAGCCTCTGGCCCTCCTGGACTATTTTGGACCTCCCCGGCCGCCCCGTCCTCCCACGGGGGTCGGAGGCGGCGGCCTCCGAGGCCCAGGACGCGGAAACCCTGTAAAAACACAGGGAAAAGGAGCCCCGGTACTCCCATGCCCCCTCGGGGCAGCCGCCCTGGGCGCCCGGGCGTCGTGCACGGGAATATATATATATATATATATATATATATACACACACACACATACATACATACATACATACATACATACATACATGCATGCATGCATGCATACCTACCTACCTACCTACCTACCTACCTACCTACCTACATACATACATACATACATACGTGAATACATACATACATACATACATACATACATACATAGATACATAGATACATAGATACATAGATACATAGATACATAGATACATACATACATACATACATGCATGCATGCATGCATGCATACATACATACATGCATACATACCTACATACATGCATACATGCATGCATACATACATACGTACATACATACATACATATATACATACATGCATGCATATATGCATACATACATTCATTCATACATACATACATACATACATTTCAGGTGCGATCCCAAAGAACGGGGCCCCACCCAAGGGAACCTTAAGAGGGCCTGAGAGAGCCTTAGCCTACAGCCCTAGACGCCACACCCTAGAGGCTCTGGCACTTGGGCCCTAGAGGCCGGGACGTGCCAGCGCGTGGCGCTACTGAATACGGAACTCACTCAACGTTTTCTTGCACGGACCTCGAGAGATG